CAACAATAATGGGATACAGTACTGACACATGTGCTTGGTATTGAATGATGCTACTAAAACTGTACTACCTAACCCATGTGGTATTAACATGGAATCCAAAGTTTATGTTATCAGTATCATACCATTTCCTATGTAGTTTTAAATACTGTTCTACAACATATGAAGATGAGATATCAGAAAGAGTGAGACCGACAACTGGTTTAGCTACCGTCGTTCACATTGAATCTTCAGATCCAAAGTAAAGAAGAATGAATTGTTCAAATCAGGTTGTTTAAAAGTAAAAATGTTCAACATTCCAAGTCCAACACCATCATGCTCCACACAGGCTGTCTCACAAATTGTCTTTCTCTATTGATTACATCTCAACAACTCATCATCTCCAAGTCCAAGTCCTGCTAAAGTCATTCACCCTTTTTCATGGTTTTACTCCCTTTCTCAGAAACTACACCCTTCTACATACATACTGTCTTTACACATCCCCATCTCTTCAATCACAATTAATAACCACGATGATTCAAGTACCACAAAAACTCATACCTTCACTTCTTGGACATTGAACTTTAAGAGTGTAAATTATTATAATGATGAAATTGACAATACTTTGTGTATTATACAGTATTGCCTTGTGAATAAACAATACTATATTGTGTAGTTTTAGAACACTTGTTTTTTTAATAAGAACACATTTCATAAGAACACTAAGGCTAAAATTGCTTTAATTTTTTTATTATTTTAAAAACTAGAAAAACCAACAAATCTTATCTGTATCTTAATGTGCAGTACAGTAGGTGGGACTATGCAATACCCTCTATAATATAGACAGTAATATACTGCTGTACAAAAGTGTAAAAAGAAGAACAAAATAAGAACATTTTGAGCATAAAATTAGCCATAAAAACCCCACTGAGCCTAAGTTCTTATAACAAAAAAAAAAGTGGACCAAGTTCATCCTACAGTGTACAGTATACTACTTGTTGTTCCTCATGGTTGGACATGCAAGGTTATGACCACCCTTAGCTACTGTAACTTGACCCAAGAGAGTATATTTCTGGTTCCACTTAACAAGGATGTAGCTATAGGGTAGGTATGACATCACACATTATGGTAACCAAATACTCCAAATAAGGTTGTTGCACCTTCTGAATGGATTTACTCATCTTAAAGTTATGTGTTGATTTCATTACATATCTTGTGGAAGAGTATATATTGAGTATGATATTAGTTAAATCATTCAGTTTCCCATAGTCCTGCTACATAGTCTCATGACATCAGTATTTTTGCCCAGGCTCAGCTAAATGTGTACTGTAAGTTCTAAACCTCTGCATTTGACTATTTTGCAAACATCCCTTTTATACTATTTTGTCCAAGTAACATATCCTGTAGAAGAGTGTGTTGAGAATGATTTTAGTTTAGTTTTAATCCTTAGGTCTTTGTCAGTCTTGTACTGTAGATTCAGTTTCCTATAGTTCTGCTACTCTTGGACATCAGTCTTTAGCCTAGACTCAGCTAAATGTGTAAGTTCTCAACCTCTTACTTACTTTGACTGACAAACAAACATCCTTTTCTGTTTTATCCACGTGACATATCTTGTAGAAGAGTATATGAGTATGATTTTAGTTTAGTCTGTAAATATGCTGTAGTTCATTCAGTTTCCTAAAGTCATCACATTATTACGTAATTATGACACAATCAGAAGTTTGAAAGAGAAGAATGTTTTCCTGTCATTGAACAGACAGTTTAAAAAACATCATGTCTTTTGCTTAGGATAGACCCTCAAATTGGCTGGTAATCAAAGAGTACTAAAAAGTCACATCTGCAAAAACTAATGGGTTTTTTTTATCTGTTTCTGGTTGGAAGAATAACCTATTTTATCTTTGTAAATGAGCTTTTCGATTCTTTTATTCATTTGAGATTGTCATTTGTTTTATTCCCAACGAATCTCATTCAAAGTAACATTCATTCTGTTATTTAAAATAATTGGTTCTATTCTGATAAATTGTTGGATTTGAAATACAGTAAATGATTAAAATACTGATTGTCAATTTGTTTTCGATCTGGTTCTGGTGGGTAAAACCGACCTCCTAAGGACTCCAAAAGGGTAGGAGTATAACAAGAGGTGGTAGAAATAGGGTTGAATGATAGGAAAGGTCCACCACTGCAATTTAGGATGTGCAACATCAGTCATGGGTAGGCTTGCCAGATCGCCTCAGACCACAAGTAGTAGTACATGGGCCTAATAGGGCCTTGGGAAGAAAACCACATTTAGTAGTGAAATGTGGGAGTGTTCTCAAGCCTTATACATTGAAGAATATTTTATAAGTTTACCTGGATCATGAGAATGATTGAATGAAAATGCATATGTATTTTTGATCTGATTTTCTTTAAATTGTACAGTACAGTATATACTATACACAGAGAATTACATAGGTACCTTCATGCATACATGCTTACATTTTATTGTATTTTTTTTTCTGTTTAAAACATATTTATATCAAGGAGGTAATATATTAAATCTCATAATGATCATACTATTTTTAGTTCAGAATTAAATTCAAATGACGCTTGTTTTGTTTTTTCACTTTCAAATGATGAGAAGTATCAGTTTCGTTATTTTCTATTCTATAATTTTTATCAATTTCAGGTATTTGACAATAATAAAATGTTCACATGATAAAGCAGTAGGCATTGTTTAGATTACAGTAATATGTTTATCTATAAAATGTTAGCAAATGTTTTAATTTTTACTCTTTTTGATTGTTGTTGTTTTGTCTGGTCTAATTGTAATGTTCAAAATTCTAACTGTTCACAAGTTCTTAGGAAGACTAGGTAGGATTTTACTTTCTGTTGATATTGAGACTCCTGTTGATTATATTTTATGTGCCCTTGGATGGAGTAGACTCAATGTGATTTGGAATGAAAAATTACTTCTTATGACTTTCAAATGCTTGAAAGGATATGCCCCTCAATATTCGTCTTCAAAATTTAACTTTTACAGTACTACCCATTCTAAAGGCACACCCAAACAGCCAAACCCATAACAACCTGGATCTTCCAATGTATAATATCAGACAGGGAAAAAGAACTTTTTTACATCGATCATCCAAAAGCTGGAATGAACTACCACACAAATTAAAAATTAATTTTTAAGCGATGTCAACTTTTTCATTCCAAAATCATTTAAAAATAATATTTTCAAATTTTATTTTATTTTATTATTTGTTTTTTTACTTTGGTATATATGTTTCTCATCACTGTACCACTTTGAAAATAAGTACTATAGTACTGAAAGTGCCTACTGTATAAACAAAGATTAAATAAAATAAATAAATGTAAATAGTATAATTTAATTAATTAGAAAACAAAATAATAAAGAATTCAGTATTTGTATTGCTTTATTTAAAGAAATAAACAGTCATAAACTGAAAATTAGGCTATGTTCACACACACACGGCGTAAGGCTGGCTTAAGCATGGCGTAGCGTACGCCTTTGTGTGTGAACTAAGCAGTGGCGTTGTTAAAGCCACTCACTACGCCACGTCCTTGGCGTTTATTAACGCTACCTGCAGACCCCAGATTAGCTAACGACACTGAGCTAACGTCAGTGATGCTTAAATGATTTTACCTCATTTCAAGAGATTGACCAATCACGATTGCAATATATTAGCTACTTTGGTCTCTTTCCTGTGCTCTCTATAAATGAAATGGTATATTGCATTTTACTTAGTTATAATGTATAGGCCTATGATTTGTTGATTTTGTTTTGTAAGATATTTTAACCTATTTAGACTGTCTATTAAAACCTGCAACACCAACAATGCTAGCTGAAAAATCAAAGCAAAATTGTTCATTTAAAATACAATAATCATATAAGTTCACTTCGAACAATTCACAAATTTAGAAGTTTTACTGATGCACTGTTAATTTTACTACAGTTAAAGAACCCGTACATTATTTAAAACTTAAAACTATTCCCCCATAGGCCTATTACTACTAGTTTAATGCCAGCGTTAATATAGCGAACGCCGTTTGTGTGAACACTTTGGAATTTTAATCCGTGAATTAGCTTACGCCTGGCGTAAGCTACGCCAGTCCTACGCCGTGTGTGTGAACATAGCCTTAGACTTTAAAACAAATTTTACCACTTACTGTGATACTGTACATATTAATTGTCCTTTTGGATAGCCTTCAAATTGGATGATAAAAAGTTATGTTTACACTATTGCGCTCTGACACAGACTTGCATTGCTTGCTTTAATATACCTCTATCACACAATTCGTCAGAATATTATATTTGGGCAATGCCACCATGAAAATCATGTTTTGATTAGCACAGTGGTATTAGTTATCAAGTTAAGTGTACAGTACTTTAATTTTTCCCTATAAATAGGCAAAAAATTAGTACTTAACCACCAGCAATTTCCTGAGAAAGTTTACAATCAGAATTGACCAGGAAAAGATTGTGTAAATTAATTTCAAAAATAGAGTACATGTTTCCTGTTATTCTGATTTTACTATTTTATGGCTTGTTATCACATTTTTTAGTAAATTAGTTATATTATAACATATTGATTTTTCTCTGTTCAAGTTGGTAAATGCTAATAATTATCTCCGCTTTCTCCATATTATGTATTTGATGATCATTGTAAAACTTCAATGTGTTGTGAAAGATACAAATGAAAGTATGCTCAAAAGTTTCTTAAAGATGACATCCATTATTTAGTTTACTTTCATTCTGTTCTGGACTGCTCCATTGCTTTGTTCTAAAACTCAGATTCACCAACTCTGAACTTCTGTGTTGCTATACTGAGTCTACTATTTCAGTTTCCCCACACTGTGCTTTACGTTTTTGTTCTCCCACCCTGATACTTCTCTATTCTAGTTTTCCTGACACCCAGGTCCACCACTCTGTTACACAATCATATACCACTATATTTCTTTTCCAGTAATGAATGTTCATTTTGCTAATTAATTCATGTTCATTGTATATTTATTTGTTTTAGGAAAACAAGTCTGTTGAGGAACTCCTTGCAATTGATTTTGAAGACATCAATGATGCAAATAAATTTCAACCCAACATCATGGAAGCATCATCCTTGTTACCATTTCCGGAAAGACACACGCTGTCACCAAAGAATGTACATAATTACTACTCGGGTATCAAAGGATCCCCAACGCAAAAGCCTTATGGCCACTTTAAACCAAGATCTGAAACATTGAAGTGTTTAAAAGAAAAACCAATTAAATCTAAATCTAGAAATATAATTTATTCAAAGTCTAAAGACAGTTATGTTAATAAGCAGCAAGTCAGGCATAATTTAGTCAAGCCCAAGGTTGAGTCAAAACTAATTACAGAAGGTGGTGTAGAGAGAAGTCATTTTCGACACAAGCAGTTATTGTCTTCTAGTTTGCCAAATCACTTTGTTAAAGATACGTACCTGGGTGAACGATCGCTTGCAAATAATGGTAGACAACCAGATGTCCTAGGTTTCTGTCACATCCAGAATAATATTATTGAAGCTTTTACAGAAGAAGGTATTGAAGTTGAAGGTGTCACGTTCATTCAGGACTTTACAACAACACTAAGCAAGCCTGAAGAGCATTGTCTGAAGTGTTTGTTAGACACTCTACTCATGACTAATGAAAATAGAGAACTCACTTGCCAAACTTATAGTGCTTTAAAACACATACAGCGCCATCACAAACTTACCAGAAAAGACTTCCCGGAAAACTGGGACCAAATTATGGACATCATAAAACCATTAGCTAATGACTGCAATAATTTATTGAATAGAAACAGACTTCTCTATTTAGATCTTTTAACAACTGTTTTAGAAGAGGATCTCCACCAACATAAATTAGAGAACACAGTTAGACGTTCTTTTGTGTGGATTATGTTATGTCCAGAATATAAAATGTCCAATATATCCAGTGTTGTGAACTTGTTACTCATGGCTGTGCAAAGAACTTTTGGCAACTGTCAAGATTCTATACCTTTGCTCCCAGAAGAACTTCAACGTATGCAACAGCATGTTGTCTTCTTACTTCAGAAGTTATTAGCATTGTCAGTAAATGTCTCAAGATCCAAGGTTGAAGGAGCAATGAAAATTGCAGAGGATTTAATTTATCCATTCCGTAGTCTTTCAAATATGATGCATAGAAGGCAGATACTTGAGGTAAGCAAACTATTGAACTACACATGTATCGATTTCAGTTGTACACAGATATGGTCCTTTAATATATATCATAAATGTTATTTACTGTAGGTATTACATAAATAGTAATATGCATATTTATGCAGACGTAAGGAAAAATCTACTATTCAAAATCGACTATCACATGCCTGTCTATGTGAACTGTATGCTAAATGTGTAAACCCTAAATATGCAGATAGATGGTTTGCTGTTCAATATTAAGGAGGTACCTGTAAAGTAAAACAAATACAACATTGTATTATTTCAGTAAAGCAGCAAAGTCTGCATTTATCTACTTAATTACATTATATTGAGTGTAGTTGTAACAAAATTGCCATGTTGTTCATGTTCTGTTTGTTTCATATTTCTGTTGATTTCTCGATATTTCCAAAATTGTGAAATAGTTTTGTATTCATCTTTTCCAGACAATAGATTGTGACATTTTACGGCAGAAATTTATAGAGTTATGGCTGGAGAACTGCTGCGAACTCAAAGATCCTAATGGCATTCTACCAGCAGCTAGTGAACCAATGTCTGTTAATAAGATCGTCAATCGTCATTTTAGATTTCAACCGTCAAAGGAAGTTGAGGATGTTAGTTTAGCTTGCGAAGAGCTCAGTTTGGTGCACTACTTACTCTTAAAGTCATACCTCAGAAATTGTGCAGGTATTTCAAAGTTTGTTTCTTCTCAAATTGTCTACAGTATAATAATAATAATGATAATAATGATAATGATGAAGAATATTGAGCATTTAAAAAAACAGCTATTCCTTTATAAAAAGGAGGCTACTCTCCTTGAGAAGTAGTGAAAAATGGCTTTCAACTGCAGTGTCCATAAATGAACTGCAAATGTGCCCATATTGTTTTATTAAAGGTAAACATTTGTTGATTGTTTTTACCCTTGTCATTGTATTAAAGCACACCATTATTGAAAAACTATGTTTTGATGTATTGTTTGTAAAATACAATGATGTTTTGGTACTGACAATGAATATTTCATCTGTGTTGTTGGTCTCTTCAGTACAATATCTGGTTGTTTTATAGGTCATGAACTTATTCCAGTCTTCTTGTATTAGTGGTAATGTGTGTCATCACCTGGAGTCTGGCATCACAAAACATAATATGGATGGTTTCCGAATATCGGTCCTCAAATAACAATTTAACTAAAATTATAATATTGTAGGCATTTTAATAGTACTCTTACGTTTTTATATCGTAGTGCTTTGCGTTAAGAATTAACACTTTAATTAAATAATTATTATATTTGTTTCAGAGAAAATAAACAAAGGCACCAAAGATGATGCAGCTTGTTATTGTGGCATGCAGTTATCAATTGATGATAAAACTTGGCTGGTTGGAATTGGAGACACTGTCACTCAGCTATGTTACCACCTCAAGTCATTTGCCGAATTGACACCAAAGACTCAGTTCTACCTTAACTGCATAGAAGTCTTTCAGGATCTAGTAGATGGTTGATAAAAAGGTCACATAACCAATCTCAGAGGTGTAACAGGACCAGTTTCAGAGATGTCACAGTACCAGTCAGTTCTACCTGAACTGCATAGAACTCTTTCAGGGCTTGGTGGATGCTTTATTAAGAATCAGTCACCCACATGTCTCTGGTGGTCACAAAGAGTTCAAACCAAATATTTTGTCATCACAACAATTACCTTGAACTATGAAGATATCCATACCATTTATTTAAAAACTTGTTTTATTTTTTATTACTCAAATATACAGTACAGTAGCTGTGATTAGCCTTGCTGTAATTTGTGTTAAATCTTTTATCATAAGGTCAGATCATTTACAGACTTTTCAAATTGTTGTAGTTTTTATAAGTTTTTTCCATGGTTTTATACAATTTTATATTTTAGAGTCAAAGAGGATCATTGTACATTAATGATTTAAACATTGAACATTTATTGAAGTCTAGTAGGCCAACTTGTATAATGTGATGAATGTACTGTATGTAGTTGTGTTTGTGTGTATCAGTGTGAGAGTGTAATGGTTTAGTGTGATAATTTGTGCATGAGTAAAGCTCTGTCAACATTATCAAAGTTGATGTGACAAATTTGTGTGATGTGCCCATATATGGGCATGATGGTGTCATATTATATCCAAATATGGGCATTTCCCTTTTTTTTTTATAGTATGGGCAGAGCTTATATGTAGTCTGTTGATGAGTGTGATGGTATTGGTGTATGCAAGTGTATGAGGTGTGTGTCATACATATGTATGGTAGAGAGTGTATGCTTTATTGTTTTACAAATTAAGTTTTAATTTAAATGGTATGCATTTGACCATTTGTGACCCAAACGGGCTGTAAACTCGCATTGCACTGTATTGAGAAACAAGCCTCAATAAACAGAATAGGGCGAAGAATGTGAATTTTGTGTGAATTGAGTTTTTGTGTAATAAATAAAGTATAACTATTAATCTTACTATTCCTGAAGTTTGAGTTTAAAATTCCAATTGTAGGAGGTAAAATTTAGCAATTTTCGGATGGGAGCTAATGAAAAATGAATAGAAACCTGCCGAAAATAAAAGCATTTTTCTCAAAACTTGATTTAAGAAAGTTGATAAGATAAAAATTATTCAAACGGTCATAACTTTGCTTCCAGACACACGATTGAGTTCATTTAACTGTCATTTTAAAGTAAATGATATGTTCTGTGCCATTATAACAAAAACTCATTTTGGCCTGAGGACGAGTTTACAGCCCGTTTGTGAGCTTGGGTCACATTTCTTCTCTCAAGTTATTTGTGCATTAATCACTAAGTGCCTCATCCTTTCACCAGGACCAATCGCTGAACATTTATCATTGTTATTGTTCAATACAAGATCATAATTATCAATTGTTATCATTTTCATTTATCATTCATTTCCAAACATTGTAGAACAGATAATTGATGGGCAGTTTGTTTCAATGTTACTTGAAAGGTAAATATAGACTTTTTTAACTTTAAAAATTTCAGACACAGAAGAAGTTTTATTTGAGAAATGTGTTAGTAGCTGTAACCATGTAAAAGTCAATGGTGGACTTCCATTGGAAATTCATGATAGAAAATGGCTACGAAAGGAATTTGTAAGAATTTTTCATAATGGGAATATTCAACAAATTGCTATACTTTTATAAAGTTTTTTTCCCCCTAATCAGTGATAGATAACCTATAGATAATGTGCTAGTTTTACATGTGTAAAATTTCTGTTTTTTGTAATACAATGCATATGGAATGATGGAAAAGTCTTAACGCTCCTTAGCTTGTATCAAGTTAGCGTGTTAATAATTTTTCCCTTGTTACAAAGAACAGGAAAAATATGCTGTTAAGGAAAGCTATTAAACAAATATTGTTGTAAATATGCTACTGTATTATATATATTTATGGATATTAAATACTTTTGCATTCTTTCATACTGATTTTACCTTAAACACAGGTAAAGTATATATGGAATAATTTTGTTGTGTTTTCTGTGTTGAATGGCAGTGTTGATGATATTAAAATTCTAGTCTAGACTTTTTTTTACAGTGTTTTAATGCAGATTGTTTCGTGAATTTATCTTTAGAACAGGAAAGAACCCTTTATTAAAACAGTAATATTTCTGAAATTTGGTGAGTTCCCAGACTATGAATTTGGCATTTTTACGTTTGAGTAACACCTGAAACTTGACAGAACTTGTTATTTTATTTGGTATTCTAAATAGTTTGTGGTGCATTCTTTACTCATATTGATGATGCAAGTTTTATGTGTACATCTATTTGTATGACCTAACTTTCAATAGTAGAACTAAGGAAAGATTAATAGCATTTATTTTTAGTAAGAAGAATCAAAGTTTAAATTTGAAATTGCGACCAATTTTCCTTAGATTTAAAGTATAACGAATATTCCTGTCGCCAATGCGAAGGCTCAGCCTGATGTGAGCTGAAATGGCACGCAAATTAAACAAAATTGAACCTTGCAGTTGCTTCTATATGCTCATCATAGGAAATCATTGGCTCAAGTTTTTGTGCAATTAGCAAGAGCAAAGTACGTTTTAACTGGGCATTAATCCTCTGAAGACTGGTCGTCTGACATAGAAGGCACTCGTTTATTTGCGTTATATAAATCCATCTATTATTATTATTATTATTATTATTTTATTATTATTATTGTTATTATTATACAGAAATGGCTTGAGGAGCCGGCGATTCTAGAAGATGATTAAATTAAAACAAAGTAACTACCGATCATCAAGTCCTACCAAAGAAAGAATGCTTGTACAGAGTGTGAAAACTCGAGCAGAGAAATTACTCTTAGTCTCGCATTAAAAACTTTCAGATTGAATTTCGTACTTTTCCTACAATATGTAAAAAACGAAATCGATATTTTATTGTAAAATAAATCCGCCAAAACAATATACTACAAAAAAATATATGAGAATACAAAAAAGACCAGTTGGAAGAAAGGAGGTTATTCTTTCTAGGTGGACCTAGTTTCCCGCATGACCCACCCTAATCTAACAAATCGAGGAATATAGATGTTACTTTCAATGACCCACATCCCAACCTAATACTGTAGAACATTCTTTAGTTCAGACGTTGCATCAATAAGGTCTAGTGACACCCATCTAAAACATCAATTACCAAGGCCCAGTTGGTAATTTTAAACCGAAAAATTAATGTGCTGGTTGGATCTAAGATTTATAGAGCAGAGCGAGAGATTCAGGACTGATAAATATTTTGAGGTTAGATTTGAGAATTTTGTGCAAATTTTTAAATATAGGTACATCGTTAATCCGTTTGAGTTTAAAATGCCATAACTACTTTAAGCATTCCAGTGTCAACAAGTTATCCATACAAATAAACAGGTGTAACATAGTTGGATGTTTCCAAAAGTAAATATCCATGAACTTACATTTGAAAGGGGAAAATGCCATTCAAATTGAAAATCGGGCGAAGATTGCTTAGGCCAGCAGCAGAGTGAAATAATCAAGACAAAAAGATACCAAAATAAGATCATCAGCAAATGGAACAGTTTCCGAAAATCTGAAAAACAAGGAAAAAAATTGACCAACTTTAATAGTCTAACTGTTAATTAGGAGTCGAAGGAATACTAATGAAAGAAGTTGGTTGCGGTTGGAGCCAATTGGAAAACCAGGATATGGTGTAGGGCCTATACTGATCGAGACGAAATAAATGAGTTCATAAACAAAGCGAAGGTCAAAAACATACATTTTCTTCTGCAGACTTAGAATGTGAAAAAGAAGCAAATCAGGAATATAGTACTGTATACAAAACTAGAGAAATTAATTTAACACAAATAGTAAAATTTGTCTGACCCCGGAGATTTGAAGTGTTAATTGTCTATTGAACCTTGGAGAATTTCGAGGTTCCATACCATTTAACCATGGAAGAAACATCCATCGTGTCTGAAACCGGGACCCTCACACAAGCATCGGTTTCTTGGTTTTCCGATGCTATCATTATGATTATAATTTACCACTTGAGTGAATTCTCCGTGGCTTAACTACCGCAGGTTCGTCGAACCTGGGCCCCCAAGCTCCAGGGGCCCCCGATCTATAAGGGCCCGCCCCCTTATAAAAAAAACTAATAAAGCAATGCATAAATGAAAATCTAGATTGATAGTATTTGTCTTTACGTAATACTGCACATTACAAGTTAAAATTGCTTAGCAGTGGCGTACCACAGGTTCAGGCGGTTCACAAAACCCCCGATTTCCAGGGTTCCTTATAGAAAAATAATCTAATAAAGCATTGCATAGAAAAGCATTGATTAATAATATTTATCGTTATATTCAATACTGAATTTTATCATTTAAAATTGTTGATTTAACTTTAAAATAATCAATTATACATGCCAAGGCCCCTACAATTGTAAAAATTGTCACTCAAACGCCGATACAGAACGTCATCTATGCAATCATGAAAGACTGACCACCAATAATAAGTTACTAACAAATATCGGTTGTCAGCGAAACTGTCCTTTCTTTTCCCTCTAATGTAAAGATGATTTGCTGGGGCGTTTGTCCATGTACCCTGACTGGGGCACTTTGGATCTCATTAATTCCAGCTTGGACTCAACTTCACTTTAGCCTGCATTAGTCAGTGGTGGCGCCAGGGGGTACTGGGGGAGCTATAGCCCCTCGTCGGGGAAGCATAGCCCCCCCCCCCGTCGAGGAAGACGATAAATTTTGTCGGGGAACAAACAAATAAAAAAAATATGTAATATTCGTTTAGCCACCATATCGTTTGTGTTAACTTTTCATCACAACAACAACCACAAT